CCCCCCCCTTCATCCACACACACCAGCTCCTCCTAGACTCCCCCAACCTCAACTCCCCGCTCCCCCTGTGGCATTCTTGGGGGCGCACTGCACCTTTAAAGAAAATATGAGAGAGGCCTAAGAGGGAGGCCAACAACAGAGTCTTTGTGCTGCCGCGGAGCACACACACACACACACACACCAAACACGCACACACATATACACACATCAGTGGTGTCAGACAGGTTTTATTAGAGTGAGAGAGGGAGGGAGGAGGAAGGGGAAGGAGGGGTGAGGAGGTCACTGCTCAGCTTGGAGGCCTGAGAGCACAGTGTGAGAGTGTGTGTGTGTGTGTGTGTGTGTGTGCGTGCGTCAGTTCGGTGTGTGAGTTCTTCTGACTTGTCATCGCTCCCCTCTGTAAATCATCGCCTCTGACACAGTCTTTAATAACAGTGCATTTTTTAATTCAGCAGGGTCACACACACACGCACACACACACACACACACAAGGTAAGGGCTACTTTCTTTCCTTAACAGGATTTCGAAAAATGGCTGACAACTATGTTTCTGAAAGGAGGGAGGGTTGGTGAGGCAGTTAGAGGATCCATTAGAGGAAAAGGATAGAAATTTTATTTTGCTACGTGTGTATGATGATCTTGCAGTGTGTGTGTACATGCATATGTCCATACTCTATGTCAAAGTGTGTGTGTGTGTGGCTCAGGTTGCTAAAGCAAACAGGTCTCTGTGTGTGATGAATCTGGCCTCTAATCCCCCCAGTGTGTTTGGGTGAGACAGGGAGAGAGAACGCAGGAATAAGCAAAGAAATCTAAACAGAGAGACGTAGCAAAGGAGGAGGGGGAGGCAGGGAGAGAGAGCGAGAGAGAGAGAGACAGGTGGGTACCATATGTTGGAGTAGTCCGTCACCACAGACTGAGGTCCATTGTTGACGGCCGAAACGAAACAAACCGGTCCCCCTCCAACCCTCTCCTCCTCATCTCCCCCCGTAGATAAACAGCCCCCGAGGCAGACAGTGGGCTGTCCGTGAGAGAGAAGGAGAAGGAGGAGGAGGAGGAGGAGGGAGTTAGGAAGGGCAAGGGGGAGGCAGGTTGTATCAGATTTCTTTGCTCTTAGACCAAGAAGTGGAGAGTACAAAAAAGAAAGAAAGGTGCACAAGTGAGGGTGAGTGAGAGGCTCATTGTTGCATCTGTCTGCGACACACAGCTGAACCAGGCCAGACGAAGTGAGTGATTCAGATGTTTCAGCAGCATCGGACGCAGCCGATATCGTCAGTGCCAAACAAGTATCCCCTCTCCACCTTACCAGCTCAGCAGGCTGGGAAGAGAGGCCAGTGATGCACCGCTCCTCCATTCCTAAACCCCCTTAGTTCCCCAGGAGAGAGCGAGAGATGACGAGAGGGGTAGATAGATACAGGGTGAAGACGTAGAAAAGAGCTCGTCACACCCAGCTGCTTCTCTACAGGCCTGCACGCTCTCTGATTTTTGGATCAGTGAGAGAGACCAAGTACAGAAAGGAGTGGTGGATCTTCTTTTTTTTCACACTTACTTCCCTCTTTCACTCTATCTCCTTTCTGGGGTGCTGTCATTGAAGCTGAAAGCCAAGCTAAAGCTGCGTCGATGCTGCCGCCCTCCTGGGTCACCCCCCTGTGATCCCTTATATCCATTTGCACTGCACTGCACCTCAAAAATAACAAAAAAAAAACAACCTCCAAACGCCAATAAACCCCTTTCCTTCTTTAATTTACTCCCTCCTCCTGGCTTGGTCTTTGCTAGCTTTTCTGCCTTTAAATCTGTCTTATCTTCGATTCCTTCTCTTTCTATGGCTGCTCAGAGCGATTCATGATCAGAGAAGATGATGAAACAAGACTGAGCAGATGTAACACAATCTACAAAGCATGTAAATTTGTTGAAAGGGTGATGATACTACAGTACCACCAGCTCACCTGTGTTCCAGTGGCCCAGTACTTACACCCACACACATAGGAACCACACACATACTGGAGAGGTGACAGTTAGTGGGATTGCTATATGACTTTGGGGCATATGTGAGTGAAGGCTTGGTTACGGCTGCGGTGGAATCTCACGTATCAAATGCATCACTATCAGTCACCACAAAAACCAGATCACTCCTACTTTCTTTCTCTCCGTCTATATCACCCGATCTGTCTCTTGTCTTCACACCGCCTCTCCATATAATGTATAAAGTTTGGCTGGCATTTCTCCAAGTACTCTGTCTTTCTTGTGCCCTGCCCCCTCTCCTCTCAAGAGATCTGCTACCCATACCCTTATTGGCCACAGTCAATTCTGAGAGCAGATATGCGTTAGACGGAGGCCTAAAATAGATCGCACAAGGCCAAATGAAACCAAGGCTTGTGAATACAGCTGTTGGCCTCATGAGAAGACCTTCGCCTTCCCTGGACCGTCAGACAGAGACCCACTACCGTGATGGCAGCTGTGGGTCTGGGATACCTGGTTTAGGATTAGCTCATGAATATTTAAGATTAGATTAGTTGCATTTTAACAATAAGATAACTACCTCATAGAGTTTAGTATGAACTGTTGAGAAGATTGACTCATAGCTCGTTGTAGTTGTTAACAGGAGCTGATTTCACTGAAGCTCATGTTTCCCACCAGACGATAAATGTAATGGGAAATTTGTAGGATTATGTTTGGGCAAAAAAAGGTAAGTTGCTCTGTAGTTAAAGTTTTTAGAAGGAGGTTCTTGACATGGCCGGCCAGATAGCAAAACTGAAAATCCCTTGTTGGCAATTTTATTGCTTGGAGGAATGGCTATAGAATGGAAAAATGGGAACAAACCAAGTATGAATCCAAATATTGAGGATATATCAAGTTTTATAATCTGGGGAGGCTTAATTGAGGTTTTGAAACAAAATGTTAGTAATGATTAATAAAGCCAAAGACCAGGACTCTCTTTTAAGATTTTTGTACATTATAATTACAGCAGTAGCTGTATATGTTTGAATAACTGTTTATTTTATCTACTTGCATAATCTTGTGATGGTACACTGTATTTGCTGCCAAGACTGACCATTTTTTTTTAAAAATATGTGAGGTTTGTTATAATTGGGAAAACTAAAAATATTGAAAAAAAGAAGTTGCTCTGTTGCACGGAATGAGGGGAGGTCTGCTGAGCAGGCAGCAGCATTTTCTTTCTTGCAGTCAGCAATAAGTGAACGTGGTCCTAATAATTACATTACTGGAAAAATGACTTTGTAAAAAATTCACTGAGTTAACAACAAAAAGAAATTCTTAAAAGTTAGTGCAACTTCACTATAATAGGTCAAAGGTGTAAGGGAACAGATTGGTACATATATTTAGTGCAGATCAGGGGTTTCCAGGGGTAAACATACAGGGGCAAGGGGCAGCCTGAACCAAAGCCTGCTAAAGCCGCTCAATTTCACGGTGGGTTACAAATAAACTATGCTCTGCCAAGACTTCGCCCCTGACTCTTCCTCACATACTCCTTTTCTGGTATTAATCAGGCCTTTCCGGCCTCCCTTCACCAGCTTTCCTGCCATTTGTTTTCGCTCATAGCAACGTGGACTTCAAACCAGTGGTCCACCAATATAACTGAGCTTAAACGACGCTGGATACTCAATCAGTTTAGGCCGCCGCCGAGCTGGAACTATCTGGGACACCTTCAGAAACACCAGCCAGCCGCGATCCCGTTCAGCTATTTAATGTAATGTTTCCGCAATATAAAGGCACCGTGCGAGAGCTGAGGTTTTAAAACGGCTGAAGCAAGCTTCTCTGGGCCCAGACTGACCATTAAAGAGAGGAAAGACCGCGTTCAAGAGCCAACGCAATAAAAACTCACAAACTCCAAAAGAACTTCAAAATATGGC